TCCTGGGCCCTTCCCCATGTGTCCAGGGCCAGAGTGTAGAATTCAGGTCCTTTATAAGAGCAGTAGGAGCTCTTAAATTGTGAACTCTCTCTTTCTAATGCTGCAACCCTTTAATGTAGTTCCTCATGTTGTGGTGACCTCCAACCATAAAATTATTTTGTTGATACTTTCATAACTGTAATTTTGCTACTGTTACGAATGGTAAATATCTGATATGCAGGATATCTGATTTTCAAACCCTGTGAAAGGGTCATTTGACCTCCTCAAAGGGGTTGTGACCTAAAGGTTGAGAACTGCTGCTCTAGACCCTGAAGCTTAATTTTAATCACTGTCCAATGAGGCCCACTTTTCTATACAGTGCTTTCCGCCATGCTTCTCCTACCCACCTGGACTACATTTCTTGGACATGCAATTGGAAGGAAACTGTCACGTCACCACCCACCTGTCTGACCCATGCCTCCTTTCACTAGGAAATTGATACACTTCTCTGGAGAAGGCCTTTGCTGAAGACATTTAGGCATGAAGGAAAAGCTGCACATGGGGGCGGAATCCCTAGCTGAGAGCAGAGAGCTCAGGGCTGGAAGGAATCCTTCAACTGACATGGGGAGGAACCGCTAACACCCCTCCTTTCCAGAACCAAACACATGACGTCAGAGGACCTCCTCTGCCAGAGTCCACCAGGATCCTAGATCTGAATTCTTCTTCCCACACAGCACTAAACAAAGGAAATTTAATCCACCTGGTCACTCTTAAAGCTGCAATCACCTGGGCAAGAAAATAGGCTCATCCACAGACTCGGGAGAAACTAGTGGCAATGGCCCTTTGTCTCCTGGGGTTGGAGAAGAACTTACTGAATTCTACCTTGAGTACCTACATTTTTATTCTTTAAAACCACAGAGAATCCCTTAGAATCTGCAGTAGTATGTTTACACACACAAAGGAGAATTCGGGAGGAAAGGCAAGATCACAACAATTATCTCTGGATCATCTTTGCATTATAGTTTCTTTTGTATTTTGCTTAGACATTTTAACCATATGTGCAATGATTTCTAACTCTGCCTGAAGTCATTTATTCTATATTTCCATACTCAAATTAGAACCTAAATTAGGTCTTGAACCTACTTTACCTCAGGGACTCATCTTCCTACACAGACTTGCCCAGACTCCTCCTGGACTCTGGATGTGAAATAAGATGGTAGATTGTTGGTGTTTAAGCAGCAGAAAGACTTACCTGACACACAGAAAAGAGGCTTGTTCACCCATAAAAGGGTTTGGAGGAGGAATACAGAGTATGAAACAGTAAACAGTATATTAACTAACAGCATTTGTTCCCATAATTAGGCTGTGTTAATTCTTGGAGCAATAATATTCTTTGGTATGCAGTAAATTGTTTCACAGGGACTTTCTAAGGTCGAAATAACATGAAGTGTAGCTTAGCCTAGGACAGGATGATGTCCCAGACTGAAACATGTTTGGAGAAATTCAACTAATCCATACTGGATCTAATTTATTTTGTAAAGGAAGGACTCTTGAGTTCTCTGGGAAATAGTTTCTGACCTTGATCAACTTCCTTTATGGGGAATTTATGATGGAAGACTCTTAACAAGAAATATTCAAAGAAATTTAGGGACTCAAAATGTTTTGAAATCCCTGCAATCACAGATACTCACCCAAACACCCAGCACTGTGTCCCAACGCGCTTACACTGTGTGTCGGTGAGGTAAGCATAGTACTGTCTGAAAGAGCAGAATGGGAATTCATGAGCACCTCTACAGGCCAAGGTTCTGCGCAATGGCATCGCTTTGACAGAGAGAATAAAAAAAACCTGCCCTGCCTTGCTTACCATATTTCAGCAGCCTGGTCTAGTTCCACTCAAGGGAACAGCCAGCCAGGGTTATTCAAAAATTCCTGTAAGAGATTCTGAATTTGGGTTGGGAGGGAGTGAAGGGAGCTCAGCTTACAGGACCACACTGTTGGCAAAGACAGCATTGGTCCAGCACCATTCCCACAGCCCTAAGCAAGTCAACCTGGACCTGATCCAGCCCCTCTGTAGAGTGGAGACCACTCCAGAGGGTCAGCACCAGGCTTCTTCAACTGTCTCTTCTGGCATCTTCAGGGTTATTGGTGTTGATTATACTAGTAAAAACGTAAACATCTTTGCCTTGCTGAAACTGGAAGAGCCCCATCTGCACTTCACCTTAGCTGCAGGATTCTGAATGTTGCTGACAGGATTTGCAGAGAGTGTTCAAGTGCTCAGAGCAGCACCCAGTGACAGAACCACGTATGAGCCGGAGACCCTTTCAGATGTTTCTAGTTGTCACATCAAGATAAGGACAGACAAAAGTCACTTTAATAAAGTGACCCATATATAAACTATACCAAAATACTAGAATGAGGTATTTTGTATACCTCTTGAATTAACCCATGTGAAATGTGTGTTTACAGGTACCACACATTTCAATATGGACTGACTATGTTTGGTGAGTGGGTGTCAAATAAGATAGTGAGATTTGGAACCTCTAAAGTACTCTGAGCCCTGTCTATGCCTGCAGAAGGCAAGTGAACTGAGAGCTCACCATTTTGGGGAGGGGGGTTCCCTTGAGGGTTTGAGAGACTCTGTGGCAAAGAAATATAATATATTTTGCACACAGACTTTTCTACTTACCAATAATCTCATTTTAGGAAACCTAGTGTCACCTTTAATATTTTGTAACAGGATGTAAGAAGACGAGCAGGGACAGACTGCATAGTTGTTGAAAACAAGGGTAGTTCTAGGGGAATGCCACTAAGTGACTGCTTTCTTTTAAAAACTCTCACTGTTGTACTGAGGTCTCAGATCAAAACACATTCTTGATATTCTGGACAGTTACTTAGAATAACATTTTCACAGAAAATCTGTTAGTTGAGGGATGAAAACACAAAGCAAGCACACTTCTTCAGCAATTGGCAGCGGGGCTGGACAGAATTACCTCACTGTAGGAGCTGTAATGCAGCCGATGAAGAGAATTCTACACCAGCTTAAGGGGTGGCTGGCTTGGAAAACAAAGATGTGCTTCAAGAAGAAGGTATTCAGCTCAGTCAACTGAAGAAAAGAGAAACCAGTCACCCTGTGCCACATTACATCATGAGCATACATTCCTTAAACAGGCTTTCTAGAGCTAAGAGTAACCAGTATGTCCAAAGCATTCTCAGAAAACATATGGGGTCTCCCAGGGATTGATAAAGTAGTAACAGACAATACATAGCTACTGACCAACTGGGAGCAGGTCGCTCTGCGTGTGTGTGCGTGTGTATATATGACTGGAGTGGTGGGAAGGTCATCAGCTATTTGAAACATTTCCTGTTTTGCATTTCTGTCCCTTGGCTCCTCTCTGTGACCTGATGTGGGACAGTCAGGACAGATGGTACAAATCAGTACTTCTACAGCCTTATGGAGCTCAGGCCAGTCTAAAGCCCAACTCTAGACAGATCAGCACTGACCTAAAGATGTTTGAGGTCCATCTGAGAACTGACTACCAGAGGCATGTAGTGTGTGTGTTCAGGGCAGAGACGGAACTTTTGCCGGCGGCGTTTTGAGACAGGGTCTTGCTCTGCAGTGCTGGCTGACCTGGTACTGAACTTGCATTAAACCCTCTTGTCTCACTCTCCTGAGTGCCAGGATTATACGTGTGTGCCGCCACTCCCACTTTGTAAGGATTTTTTTTTTTTTTTGAGAGTATTCTTATTTGTGGTTGGTTGAATCTTCAGATACGGACCTCACAAGTAAGGAGGCAGAGTGACTTCTGCAAACCACAGTAGTGATTTACTCCCTTGTACTTCTATAAATATAAACTCTGTCTATCAGGAAAGGAATTGCTTTCCATGTGTGAACAAGATTTTTCACTCTTAAAAGTGATATGCACTGACCTTTCCCACCATATTTTAACTTTTTGAAATTACTGTTTATTTATATTCTTATTTTATGTGTGGTGTATGCACACGTTCAATACAGTGAACGTAGGAAGGCCATAAAACTTTATGTTTGATGATTCTGCAAGAACTTTTAAGCAACATGTGTTTTCCCATGGTGAGTCTCCAGAAGCTGTGACAACCCCTGGGGACAGGAAGAAAACAAAACAAAACAAAAAGTCTGTCTCCAAAACCAGAGATATGAGAATCCTTCCCCAGTGACTACTGAGATTTCTTCTACCTGGAATGCTTCTCTCCCCCAATTTTCTGCAAGATTCACACAATCCATGGGTCCCATTTCCACAGCTGAGAAAGCTCTCTGAACATTATACAAACTGGGGAAGGCTGAGATACAATTTTGTATACCAGAGAGTGAATTAGGAATATAAGAAAGTATTCAGGGTGCAAGACCCTAGAAAACCCGGTCATGCTTCCTTCTAATCAAGGAAAAGACAAAACTCAATGCCAACCCACTTATTGTCTCAATTTTATAAACAACTTCCCCAGCATCTGTTGAGGATGAGTTCCAGGACATTCTCTGGACACTATGAATTCTATACCCTGCACTGCAAAAACTAAAATTACAAATTAAATTTTAAAAAAAAAGAACCTTCACATATTTCCTTTGGTTTTGAAAATATTCTTCAAAACAGTGTTACACCTACTTCACTGGGTGATGGGTGCTAAATATGACCTTTCCCAGGAAATCAGTTCCTAATTTGTAATTCAGAGAATCCAGTTTTAAAATGTCTCCACACTGAAGCAACTCCTCAGACAGTAACCTAGATTTTCATTACCCTATATGCCAGCTACAAATTCTCTTCCAAAGTGTCCAGCTGACGTGAAATGTAATCTACCATTAATTCTAGCCTCCAGGAAGAATCATGTTTTGCCCCCACCCACCCCTTAGAATGGGCATTACCTGCCAGATGATCATGAAAAGGTATACCCCAGCCACTCTCTGAAAGGAAGACTTAGGGTCAAACCACCTGACGTAAGTCCAGCTAGCAGGGGTGAACTGTAACACAGCACGTTTGATCTTCCCTGTGGTGGTATGGATGTCCCTGGAAGAAAAGAATGGAAACCGTGAAAATCCAGGGGTAACAAAGAGGGAAAAAGGAAAAACTGCACTGACGATATTCTAGCAACTCCTCAGAACGGAGGGGACCCTCCCTAGTGGAAGCTGGGGGGAGGGGGGCTTCAGGGTGCTGCTGAGCTAAGAGGGGGCTAAGTTTGTGAAGGGTGTCAAAAGAAGTTAACAGGAATTAAAGATATGACCTGGAAGCACCCAGGAAGAATGTACATGGGGCAAGGATACTATTCCCTCCCATTCTGTCTCCCCAGGGGGTGTCATTATAAAAGGGCTCATGTTTCATGTTCCTGAGCTCACCAAAGTCATTTATTTCTCCCCAGAGTTTGTGGTGACAGTGATGTCTAACTCTTCATGAGTTTAATCCTGGGAATCACACATTCAAATGACTCCTGTCATCAACAATCTATCTTGCATGTGAATAGATTTAGGTTCAAAGATGGTGTAGATCAGCTTTGTCAACACAGGAACAAGGTCTGCCAGCCCTCCGACTAGCCCAGTTAAGCCGAAACCCAAGCCATTTAAACACCTGGTGGGTAGTATAATTCCACAGAGGTTTTTTACTGAGGACTTTTGTGTTTAGACTGGATGCTCAGTGTCAATGACATAGATAACAAATTTCCAGACCTTTCCTTCCAGAAGGAGAGAGGTAGAAGACAGTGGCAAAGCAGGTCAGGCCCTTCATCCACCCTCCTTATGTGTCTTCCCAGCATAAGGAGGTGTTGGGAGCCAAATCTCAGGGCTTGGCAGGAGATCCTAGGCCATTCTTGGCTGGCCACATAGTTGTATATTAACCTTTACATAGCAGCTCCTTAGAACCTCAGCTCAAGAAAAGAAACAACTTGACCCAGTCCTCCACCCACAGGCTCACTCACCTAGGCAACCCCTTCCTGAACCTCTTACTCATGAACTCTTTATCCTGCCAAACATCCTCTTTGTGGCTTCCTAATATCCTGCCTACACAAACAACCCATTCTACCCCTCCCCATATCCTGCTCTGCTGACTTTATAAGCTAGCCTGAGAAAAAAAATAAAAGTTTGCCACTTGATCAGAATCCTGTCTTGTAGTCGTTCTTTCTTCGTTTCTTGTCCCCATTCCCTATCCCTGACTCTCTTGCCCCAGGTTGGTGTCCTGAGGGTAGGGACAAGGAGGAGCAGGGTTACAGGCTCAAAAGCAAGAACAGAGTATTTTCAAAATGCCAAATGTAACAAAACAGAAACTGAAACACATTACAATCCAGAAACGGGTTATTTAATGTACTGAAGGGGTTAATTTAGTTCAGTCTATATTCATTTATATATTTAATGTGGCTTTGAAAACACTGAGCCTTGGTTTAGTGTGGGCTTATATCTGGCATCTTGACAAAAATGGTTCTAAAGTTGAACTTGGGAGGATAAATGCATAAATACAGGGACGTGTCGTGGCTGTATCTGAGTCGGCCTGGTATAAATCTGCACTCCACTGCTTAGTGATCATGCCTCCTTATGCAAGTTACCAAACCTTGACCTCACTTTGACCATCCCAAAAAGAGGTGCAGTGTCTATCCTTGGGACTGATGCAAGGTGCTAAAGAGGCACTTTGTTCCACTTGCTTGGAGCAATGTCTAGCCCAGATACTGTTACACAGTAGATCACTTTTAAATAATTACAAAGGCCTCAAGTCAATGGCAAAGAAGGGATTGTTAGTAAGCTAAAGAGGATAAACTAGATAATTAAGGGCAAAAGGTATAAAAATCTCTCCTTTGTACACATAACCATATAAATCTGACCTAGGCTAAACATGGTTGTGGAGGCTTATAATCCCAGCAAGTAGGAGGCTAAATCAGGAGGATGGGTTTCAAGGTCAGCCTAAGCTATGTTTGTAGATTCCATCTAAAAAACCAACAAGCAAAAACAAAACTAAAAAACCCAGACAAACAAACAATAAACAAAAACTCTGAGATAGATCAAATATATTTTTTTCTAATGAAAAACACACAATCAAAAAACTGAAAGAAGTGGTACCCAGTGGGCAGACTTGCAATTCCATCGACTAAAAGCTTGAGGCAGGATGATTACAAATTCAAGGTCTGTCTGGGCTATAGAGTGAGCTGAAGGCCACCACAGCGATTTAATGTGATTGGAGATGGAAAGGGGGCTGAGCAGGACTTGGTGGTAGAGAACTTGCTTAGCATACGCAGGTACTGGGCTCAGTTCAGCTACTGTGGGGCTGGGATATGTCAAAATGGAAGGCTAAAGGACCATTCGTGGCAACCTGCAAGCATTCTTGAACTACAAAAGGCAGTGAAAGAGAAACTCCAGAAGAATGAGGCAGAAATCCTTTCAATTCAATGTGGGATAAACTGGAAAGGTTTAAAAATAGATTCGAGGAAAACAGTGAATGAACACATGTACATACTCAGAATGGGTGAGACTGTAAATCAGTGAACTGTAGTTGTAAGAAGCTTACAATTAAAAAGAGAGAGAAAGGACTAGAAATGCACATAGAGATACATCATGATTTTCAATGTAGCCTTTCAGTAAAACCTTAGAAACAACTAAATGACCATGAACCAGCTACTATTTTATGGTTTGGGCATACATTGAAATATATATGGAAAAGTCCTTTAAAAAAAATCATCTTTTGGAAGAATATTGGCTGATTTGGGGAAATGTTCGTATTTTGTGATATAAACTTCCTAATGTAATAAAAACATCTGCCTCCATCATCGTAGCTTAGCTCTCTTCTCCTCAACCATGGCTCCTCCCACAGGCTAAGGGGCAATGAATGAAGTAGAATGAAGCAATGAATGGAGCTACGAGTAAAACAGAATGACGTAATGGCGGTGACACTAACTGCCCTCCGACAAGCACAGAGCAGGGGGGTGACCCTCAAACTTGGGTCAAGGTAAGCTTTCCTGTTGATGACAAGCAATCAGGATCAGCAAAGGAAAAGCAGGACTAGCCTAGTCTCCACAATGCACACCAAGCCCCTAGTGAAGGAGTTTGTGGATGGCTACGGGACTTTAGGTTCCTGCTGTGACATGGAAAAGGCTGTCCGCCCAGCCTGCAGATAGAGACTTTGCACTTAAGACTAGAGAGGCCACAACAGACCTATGTGGTGGTTTGGATGAAAATGGCCCCCATAGGCTCATAGGGAGAGTCACCATTAGGAGGCACAGCCTTGTTGGAGTAGGTGTGGCCTTTTTGGAGGAAGTGCATCACTGGGGGGAGGGTGGGCTTTGAGGTTTCAGACACTCAAGGCAGGCCCAGTGTCTCTGTTTCTCTGTCTCTCTGTCTGTCTCTCTCTTTCTCTCTCTCTGCTGCCTGCCCATCTGGATGATGAGCCTCTGAGCCCCTTCTCTAGCACCATGCCTGCCTACATGCCTCCATGTTGGGCTAAACCACAGAACTTTGTAAGCCAGCCCCAATGAAATGTTTTCATTATAAGACTTGCCATGGCCATGGTGTTTCTTCACAGCAATAAATCCCCAAATAAGACAGGGTGTGTGACAGGACAAACCTAATGTTTTTTAAGAGCTCACTCAAACAACAGTCTGATAAAGATTGAAAAAGCCTTGCCTAGGGGTAGACCGTGTAATCTATGGATAAGAGTTTGGACTCAGGCTGAGGAAGTAAATTAAAGGAGTGGCTGTGAGAATTATTTTGAATCAAAAGGTTGCTCAAAGATGAAATGGTAAATGATTTAGCATCTTCTATACATATTTTTCATGTTTTAAGACAGAGTCTCACTGTGTAGCCCAAGCTGGCATGAAAGGCACTTTATAGCCTAGACTGGCCTTGAATTTGCATAATCCTCTTGCCTCAGCTTCCCAAGTGCTGAGATGACGCTTGTGAATCACTACACCCAGTATCATTTTCTCAAAGGATGTTTGGAATCAGATTTATAATCATCTGTGCTTCAATGACCAACGCACCATTCATCCATTACTGTGATAGCATACTAAATTAACTCATTTGTAGTAAAGCCCAATCCATACACAACAACGTGACCAAGGTTCCAAAGAGGACTCACTTGAAGCTTGCCCAGTGGTAAGTCCTCATCTCCAAAAATCGGCAAACAACCATGCCCAGCCAGATGCCACCACCATTGCATAACAGGATGTCCAGAATGACCTGGTCCCACCAGCACTCGGCAAAGTTGGGCAGCAGATGCATGAAGAACAGCTGAGGGACACAAGAGAGGACAGTTGGGAAAACACTGCCATGGAAGCACCAGGCATATACACTCTTTATAATAACACACTTTCAGAACATGTGTTTCCTTTTCCCCAAAGGTATAAAAAAGTAACACTAACAAAGTCTGAAACAGGCTCTTGCTTTCTTATATTGAAAGGATCCTGCAAACAACATTTACTCAAATGCTCTCCTTTAAAAACAAAACAAAGAAAACAAAAACCTGGTTTTCAAATAACAGTGGCCGCCCCAATGAGTCACATCGGCTAATGACACACAAAAGTATCTTCAAGGGGAATAAACAGAAAGGTTTCAAAGCTGGCAACAAAGTGCTATAAAAATCCTCAAAATTGGAAGCCTGAGAATGCAAGCTATGTGTTTGGGAACAATTTCGGTATGGTGGCCAATCAGTGAGCAACTGTAAAAGCAGAAGGTTGGGCTTGGTAGTGGTGGCGCACACCTTTAATCCCAACACTTAGGGGGCAGAGGCAGGTGGATCTCTGTGAGTTAGAGGCCACCCTGGTCTACAAAGAGAGTTCCAGGACAGGCAAGACTGCTACACAAAGAAAACCTGTCTCGAAAAACCAATCAATCAATCAATCAATCAGTCAATCAATGCAGAAGGTTGGCTGCTGATGGCACAGTGAAGGAAACTGAAAGGCTCAACAGGACATTTAAAGTACTGGTGCCCAGCAACGTCATCTTTCAGCAGGCACCATAGTATGCATGGTGGTCAGATAACAGTAAGTTTAAGCTCAGTATCCAGCAATGTTAAAAATCTCAAAATAAACCAGACTTGGGCAAGTGCTACAGTGGTGACATAGCTGGACTGTGGGGACGAGATGGACTCACTCTGAGTCACACTGCAGTCAAGTAAGACCTGATCCATTTGTGACTCATGCCCTTATAAAAAAGAAGCCCACAAAAGCTCAGACACACAGGGAGAAAGCTACCTGATGATGAAGTCAGAGATCACAGTGAGGCCTCTGTCAGTCAAGGCATGCTAAAGACTGTAAGGGGGGGGGGAAGGCTCTTGGGGGGGGCTTGGAAGGATCACAGCAGGGCTCAAAAGGAAGCAACCCTGCCTGTAGCTTGATTAGACTCTGGCCTCCCAGACTGGGTGGGTACACTGATAGAAGCCCACCTCGCTGGAATGCCTCTGTAAATTCAGGTCAACAGTGGCTGACACTGAGAAATACACTCTGTCCGTAGCCAAAGTCTGTGTGCTGGGAATGATTAATGAATGTAAATCTAATTGTAAGTAGTTCTTCAGCTTTCATTTTGTTAGTAGTTTCTCAGGGTATAGCTCTCATTAATTGATGGGCACTAACTTGATCACAGGTAATGGGTGGGGCTCTATTGAGAAATCATGACCAGAGATAAAGTACCTCCTCTTGTCATCCAGAACACCCAGTTCTACAGATCTCAAAAGGAAAAGCTGGCGTGTGGGCAAAGTGACTCACTCCTACACGGATTTCCTCTTTGTACACAGGGCTGGAAGATGAAATGGCTGACTACCACCTGACGGCTTGCAGCTCCCTCCACATACCCTGTGACTGCGTGGCCCTGCCCCCAGCCCCCATCAATGCTTTACCTCTGTCAGCTCCCAGGTGATGCTGATTGTCCAGCAGAGTCCATAACTACGGATCAACAAGGCCTTCATGGCCCAGCCCCAGAAATGCCCAAATGCAAATATATCAAAATGGCTGACGATCCTCTCCCAGGTGATCACATGGCAGTTCACAGCATACTCCTGGTTAACACAAAGAGTTCAGACATGGTAACTGCCTGCATAACAAATGTAAGATTTAAAATTACTCAGAAATATACAATATATCAGAGCTAAGATTAGAAATGGAACCAACATTCTTAAAGGCTGCAGAACTTTCAGCTTTGAGTTTTTGTAATACATTTTTTTGGGGTGGGGGATTCTTCCCTTGGAGTGAATCAGCTCCTGTCCAGTCAGGGAGTTCAGCTTTTTCCATCTTCCCCAGAAGTCCCTCCCTCACCCATATCTTCTCAGCATTTTCATTGTCACAGGGAATTTACAAATTTTCAACCACGATTTTTAGAGAGTGCTTTTAAATTTCCAAGTCTACCAGAATCCTTATGCTTCACTGCTAGCTTTTATTCAGCTTCTCAGTGGCCAGGTACATGTGATGTCTCTTCTTAAAGATATGTTGAACCTTTGCCGAATTACTTTCCTTCCCATTTCATCAGTGTTGCAACTGTCATTCAGAAACTATCAATTAGAAACCCTCCTTACACTAACTCACTTGTAAACTGAGGCCTTTTTAAATTGAACGGGAAATGTAGGCGTGCTGGAGTCCTATCAATCTCTTCATTCACTGCAATCCTAGAGCAAGGTCCCAGGTCCTGCGACAATGTGTTCTCGTTATAGGGTCTTCTTGGCTGACACCGAAACAACCGGGGGCTAAAGCCACATGTCTATTAATTTAAGGAGAGTGACAAGGTGCCACCAGCCCAGAATTCCTCAACCTCTCACCTGATAATTGCTCTGGAATAGGCTGCTAAGGGCTCTACAAGGACCTAGGTTGGGAGTGTCTGTTTTCAGTGGCAACTCTTAGCATAATCACAGACTGGAAAGTGCTTCTGGGGGCTTTGAACATACATTTATGCTTTCATTACAGGAAGACATTAAAAAAAAAAACTATTAAGATCCAAGTTGCATATCCTAGTATTAGAATTTTAAAGAGTAGATTAACCAAACAATCACCTCTGGAGGCCCCTGAGGTGCAGGCATAGTAGTTTGGTTGCCTCCTCTCTCCCAAGGGATAGGTCCCAGAATACATGAAGGATATCAAAATCCAGATGCTCACATCCCTAATATACAATGACAGCTTTTGCATACAACCTACAAACATCCTCCTATATACTTTAAGTAATTTCTAGGTTACATGTCCAGCAGAAATATTCTAAATGGTTTGGGGAATAGTGACAAAAAAAATAGTCTGTACATGTTCAGTAAAGTGATAATTTTCCCTTCTGAACTTTTTTTTTTTTTTTTTTTTTTTTTTTTTTTTTTTTTTTTGTGGCTTTGGAGGCTGTTCTGGCACTCGCTCTGGAGACCAGGGTGGCCTCGAACTCACAGAGATCCGCCTGCCTCTGCCTCCTGAGTGCTGGGATTACAGGCGTGCACCACCAACACCCGACCCTTCTGAATATTTTTTATTTGAAGTTAGCTGAAACAATGGATGATATCGGGGATGGCACTAACTATGATGTAGCAGCACAATAATGGAGCAGGAAGTACCATCCCATCTGTCTTAGTTAGGATTAGTCAGGGGTTAGTTAGTTAGGGTTAGTTAGGGGTTGGTTAGTTAGGGTTAGTTAGGGTTAGTTAGGGGTTGGTTAGTTAGTGGTTAATTGGTTAGTTAGGGGTTAGTTAGTTAGGGTTAGTTAGTTAGGGGTTAGTTGGTTAGTTAGGAGTTAGTTAGTTAGGGGTTAGTTAGTTAGTTAGTTAGTTAGTTAGGGTTCTATTGCTGTGAAGAGATACCATGACCACTGCAACTCTTATAAAGAAAACATTTATTTGGGGGTGGCTCACTTACAATTTCAGAAGTTCAGTCCATTATCATCGTGGGAGGGAGCAGGGCCCATGCAGGCAGACTGAAGGAATAGCTAAGAGTCCTATATCTTGTAGGCAACAGGAATCAAACTGAGATACTGGGCATAACCTGAGCATAGGAAACCTCAACACCTGCCCCCACAGTGACACACTGCCTCCAACAAGGCTGTACCCACGCCGATAAAGTCCCATCTCCTAAAAGTGCCACTCTTATTATGGGGGTCAATTATATTCACACTACCATACCATCCCACAGCCTTGTGCTGGTTAGGTGTTTGTCAGCTTGACACAAACTACAGTCACCTGAGAGGAGGGGAACTCAGCTGAGGAATTTTCCTTATTAGATTGGTCTGTGGGATATTTTCTGTATTAGGAGACCAGTGTGAGAAGTGCTACTCCCGGGCAGGTTCTGGGCTGTACAAGAAGCAAGTTGAGCAAGCCAAGGAAAGAAGCCAGTCTGTAACCAGCATTTCTTCATGACTCCAACCTCTGCTGCTGGTTGAGTTCCTGCCCTGATGGTCCTTCAATGATCAACTTTAACTGGGACATGTAATGAACCCTTGTTTTTGCTTTCATTGAGAATCCCAGGAAAGTAAACGTTTAGAAGTATCATCCTACCAGGCGTTGGTGGCGCACGCCCTTAATCCCAGCACACTGGAGGCAGAGGCAGGTAGATCTCTGTGAGTTCAAGACCAGCCTGGTCTACAAGAGCTAGTTGCAGGACAGGCTCCAAAGCCACAGAGAAACCCTGTCTCGAAAAACAACAAAAAAAGATTTATCGTCCCAAGAAGGTTCTAGCATTCAGTGATAAAGATTATTTCCTGATCTTTTAATCCCTTCGTTATCTCGTAATTACCAGAGCAAATGTCTGTGCCCAAATGCCTATTCTTTCTCCAGAACACCACCAGCTTGCACTGGACAGTAAGCATGCAAAACACTAGATGAGAATGTCACAGAAAAAAAACAACAGCTACTGACTTTGGTTTTAGCCCCTGGCTCCCTTGCAGGCTCCTGAGGTGAAAGGGTGCTGAGAGCATCTTTTGCACTAATGGTCTTTCAACTGTTTCAGAGGTAGTTCCTGATGCCTTGGAAATCCCAGAATGTCTGGAGTGTTTCTTACTCTAATGAGGCAATCTCCTGGATGGGAGCTCAGCACTCAAAAGACAAAGGATTAAATGCCAAATTTCCAGTCCCACCCTGCATCCCGAGACAAAACCATCACGAAAGCCGCTCAACTGTAGGGCTTGGAGAGCTTTGAGGAGAGTGGCACATTTGCAGGCTAGGACTGTGGTACACCTTACCTCTAAAGGGGCCCAAGTTACTGCATTTGGAACCCTGCCAGCCCTCAAGCCAAGTACCTCTTCTCTGGCTATTCATCTGTATCCCATTCCATATCCCTTTAAATGAATTGGTGAAATGCATCGTTTGAGTCCTGCAGGCTGAAGTCATGAAGACAGTGCAATGCTCCTATGTGTGGCTGTCTATTCAGAAGCTCCGGTGGCAGTATAGACTTGTGACTCACATGGAATACAGGCAGTCCCGAGGACTGACTTCTTAGCTATGGGAACTAACAGTTCATGAAGGTAGTGTTGCTGGTGTCAGAAGAGCTGGAAAACTGAATCGTGTAGGCAAAACCCGTAATATCTCATCACAGAAATGATAGCCCCGAGTATAAAGAAAAAAAAAAGTTGACTTTTCCTCCCAAATACATAGTCTTATCAATAAAAGAAAGTCAAAATAATAGTTGTCTTAGCTAACACTACAAAGGGTTCATGCATGTGTGTTCTAAACGTGTAACAAATGAAATCTGACCCTTTATGGCAAGCAGGTGGAAGACTGTAGCACCAGGCTTCAGGCACTATAGCAGAGGCTGAGCATGACCCTGACTGGTACAGTAGTAGCTGAAGAGATCCCTATGTGCCAGGCACCGCGCAGGCCTCATGTGATTCATAGCCATCATTAATCTGTTCAATACACGAAGTACCATTTTCACCTTGCAGAACAGTAAGTGATACAAGCAGAATTCAGGACCAAGGCCATGTGGAGGGCGTGTGTATATTGTGTGTATTCTTCTTAGCATATGCCTTTGTTTCATGAGAGGTTTTCATTTTCCTGGATGACATCGCTTTGGAAAATCTACACAGTGGTGCACCCTGAGATCCAGTTTTTAGCTATACACCCAGGAAATAAGGAAAGGGATCAGCTTAAGATGTGGACTCTATCTCCTACATCCCGGACACTACCAAGATCACAGGACAACTAACAAGTACATACCATGATATCTGCTTCTCTGGTGGCATATCGAAGATTGGGATCTAGCCAATACATTAGGGATTTAACCTGCTCGAAGTTCAGGAAAAGGAGAAATACCAAGAAGAGGAAGTACAGCACACTGAGGCCTGGTGGAAACAAAACAAGGTCAAGTTTAGGAAAGACACACATTAATTAGACCCAGTGGCTTGGAGTTAAGGTACACATGAAAATCACAACGTAGCCTTTTGAGAATCTATCATAGCCGGGTATTTTCTTTGGTGAGAGGATCTGATGCAAAAAATGAAGGAAACAATGTTTTATGAAGGTGAATGAGTGGATTACAGGTGGGTCACACTTTCATATTCTATCGGAGACTTACCCTTCAAATTAGCTGTGACAAGTATTTTTTTTTTTAATTGCATCTATCATAATGGCTATCCTAAAGAAACAAACCCCATGTCATTTAAAAAAGTAAAGCTAGCCAGGTGGTGGTGGTGCACAACTATGATCCTATTACTCAAGAGGCAGAGGCAGAGGATCTCTGTGAGTTCGAGACCAGGCTGGTCTACAGAGCCAGTTCCCGGACAGGCTCCAAAGCTACAGAGAAACCCTGTCTCAAAAAACAAAACAAAACAAAAAAAATCAACCCAACAACAAAAAAGCAAAGCCACTAACACACTGCAAGTCAAAGGCTTGCATGTTACTTTTCCAAAAGATTTGACACCCCCCAACCCTGCCACCAGAGGGGGCTGTCATTTCTTCTGTTAAGCCTGCTGGAATTAGATCAGTGATGCAGGGCATCCAGGTTCTGTCATACTTATCGCCTTCAATCACAAATTTGGCTTAGCTCTCATCTCCAAATAGCCATCCTAGAGAAGAGGATGTGTGTATCTGGAATGAATCCTTAGCGAGGGCTACAGCCCCAGCCTTCTAGCTCAACCCCTCTCCATTCACCAAGGACAACACTGCACTGAGCCCCCCCCTCCCCCTACAGCAAGGCCAACCCAGCCAAGGAACATTTTCTGATACATGACAACTACCTTGGGGAACTGTTTTCAATATCCTTTACACCACACTCCTTAGCCTGCCCACAAGCCTGAATGTTTCTGTCTATGCTGGTTCTCTGCTCTTTTACTCACTGTTCTTCCCTGCCCACCTGGGCCTGTAAAATGCCAAGTACTTTCCAGCCACGAGGCCACCTCAGCAGCCTCTTTATCTAGGATCTGGCTCCCCCACTATGCTAATATGCACAGACCCTTACTGCATCCAAATTTTAGATTGAGTCACTCCCTCAGGCCTTTCCTCATTATTCCAGTGGAATCAGCCACTCAGTTGCTGTCACTTCACCCAGTTTTACCTAGCTAAATGCTTAGTAACAATTTATAATTTTTGACTATTGGTTACTTTAATCGTTTGCTCCCTATAGCTGTCCTCTGGCCCTTGGCTGGAGGAGGGGGCTCCCAAGGACAAGGTCTTATTTGTCTTATCCTCCTGGATAGCCTCGGGTCTTCAAATCTGTCACATACGCAGTGAAAAGAGCTGGTAAAAACTTCCTGGAGTAAATTCGAAATGGTGAAGAGTTGCCGGGTGTGGTAGTACACACCTTTAATCCCAGCACTTGGGAATCTCTACAGGTTCAAGGCCAGCTTGATCTACATAGTGAGCCACAGGACAGCCAGGACTACACAGCTCTGTCTCAAAACAACAAAACAAACAAAGATGAAGAGTTGTCTTTACTAGCTGAAGGATGTAAGGTGGGCAACTTTAGCAGAATAACCTCTTACATTTCCAAGCAAGGATACACTGCCTTAACCTACAATTTATTGTATGTCTTACTTAGGCATGATAAGGACAAACACTCTAAGTATTAAAATTTTATTTTACACTCATTCAGGCCATTTGACTTTCCGGATGATAGAATCAAGTAAAAATAAGACTCGATATTTATATTCTTAATAACAAACTTCAGACCGAATGAGGACTCTGTCTTCCAGAAGCTTCTTACTTTCCAAATTCCTAGAAACCGCACTGCTGGGCTTCCACAGACGCTAATAAGATAAATGTGCTCTTAGCATGAACATGAGCTTGCATGAGTAAAGCAAAATAAGTCAGAAAATAGGGGCATTTGCTGAAGCCAAGCTCTGTGTACACAAAGAAACAAAAGCATTAAAAGCAGGCACATGGAACAGAACTGGTGGTGCCTGTGTATGGGAATTTATACTCTCAGCAACCATTTTTCTTATCAAAGAATCTTAGTAACATTTTTGTATTAGGTATACTAAAAAGTTGGATTTCTGTTTGTTTTTAAGCTGTGATATTAAATCACTATCGTGCTGTGCTACACAGACAAAAGATTTTGTTTTGTTTTGTTTTGAGACGGATTTCCTGTGTAGCCTTGGTTGTCCTGGAACTTGCTCTGTAGACCAGGCTGGCCTTGAACTCACAGATCTGCCTGCCTCTGCCTCCTGAGTGCTGGAACTAAAGGTGTGCACCACAACTGCCAGGCAAGAAAAGATTGTTTTAAAAGTAGAAAGAATTTTGTCATCTACTAACGGGACTCACCAAAAACCATTCGCCACAAGGCTGGATGAGGTCTGGTAAATGGACCTGCAAAGAGAGGACATGAAGTTAGAATAAACTGGACTGAGCCACAAAAGAAAGCTCTGTTAATCTACATACAGAGAACAGTAAAAAAGGCTCTCCACTGTTAATTTTTATTTTCTCTCTTTTCTTTCCCCACGCCTTTTCAAGCAGCCTTCTTAACCATGGAAAACTGCAGAATTATGAACCCTACATGCCAAGAGGGACATGCCAGGCAGGTACAGCAAGGCTCTGCCTTCAGTTGCCCTGTGCTGGAACTGACTTCAGTAGCTTGGGACAAAACAGGGAAGGATTCAGAGCTACCCTCCTTGTTTCCAGCCAGCAGGGGCAGTAGTGGTTAGCGGCACCCTCATCTGGGAACTGGGGGTCATGGCAAGGATGGTTCCAGTAGAGTTCACTGTAGAAGTAGCAAAGTACAACCTCTTTTTGTTTGTTTAGTATCAAACAAAACAATCGTGTCAAGTAGGTTTTGTGAGCAGGTTTGGGGAACAACATGATGAGGAAACAGGGTTAGAATGATGAAGTAATCTGCCTCCAGTCACACAGTCTGCCAATCAGGGCTGGAGTCACTGAGATGCAGTCCTGAGAGATCACAGAGTTTGAGGGGAGGCCTTTATTACAGAATATACCCCGGGCCCACAAAAGCTAGAGAGCCACTGGAAGGTCCTCTGCTGAGAAGTCTCATCAGTAACTGCAGATTCAAATGGGCTCCGTCTAACCCCAGGGATGGGGTGTTTTAGTTCAAATTAAACTTGCACTTGATGATCATTTGCTATCCTGGGATAGAGGTAGAACTTAAAAGTTTCCAGGTTTTGTTGTTGTTTGTCTCCTAAAGGAAACAAAGAAGAATGGAGAGTAGAAAAAGAGGAGATGGCAGGGGAAATGAGGTAGACATCATACCCTCTCCTTCCCTGGCCTCCCAAGGGCTCTTATACTGTACTTCCCTATAGAATGACGCCCCCTTCAGGATTAGGAAGACTAGGAACCAAACACACACACACACACACACACACACACACACACACACACAAAGAAAGTCTCATATCCATAACTAACTGGAAACTCCAAAGTTTTAGTGGTATAAAACAGTAAGTTTAAAAAATAAAGAGGGGCCAGGATTCTGGTGAGTGTCCACCCCTCTCCTGTCTAACTCAGGTGCACTCTAAACCAGCAGAGGTAATCCTAGTCCCCTGAGACTTTTCAGGCAGCACACACCTATTGTACATCTACATGCCCACTGGACTCAGCGAATTATAAGTCCCTGTCCTCAGGACTGGGCAGAAGAAGTGCATGCCCCAATTCTAGCCCCAAAGACTTGAGAACAAGGACAATAAAGAGGTTCCAAGAAGGGACAAGCCTATATAGTCTAAGAGCACTGGAAGTTGAGGCAAGAGGGTTAGGAATTCAAGGCCAGTCTGGGCTACATAACTAGACCGTGTCTCAAAAATCAAAAGCAGGAGGCTCGGGAGGCGGCTTTGTGGGTAACCATTTGTTAGGCAGATGTGGGGACCTGAGTTCAAATCCCAGAAAGCTGACTGCAACAGCATCCATTTATAATCCCAGGGTTCCAATGCTGAGATGGAAGGCAGAGGCAGAAGACTCTGCTCACAAGCCATGTGCCTTGACATATGCAATGGCAAACAACAAAGACGCTGACAAACACCCAAGCTTATCACTGACTCATAGCATGCATGTCCCTGCACCCACCCCCATCAACATGGGCACATACATGCATACCCATCATACATGCGATGATGATTAAAAATCAAAGACAGGTTGCTTCACTTCTAACAACATAGAAAACCATCCAAGCTCACTCAGCTACTGCTGGACAATACTTGCCCTGGGTGTCAGCTTAAGGCCATCTGGGTAGAGAGGCCCAGGGTTAACTGCTCACAATGACAAAGAAGGGGTGAAGAGTGTGGGTCTCTCTACAGCCACTTGTTGCGTTATCAAGCTCGAGGGCCTCTCTGAACTCAAAGTGATGTAAGAGAGTAACACAATTTCCTTATCCTTTAAGCTATTCCAAGTAGGGTTTTCTGATACTCAAGCTATTCAGATTCTAATAAAATAATCACAGAGCCCTTGTCCATGAAAGAAGACCAAAACTACCACACTGATATCATATCTGAATTCACACATGCAAGATGAAGTACATGGTCATATACAAGCATTTGGAGCAGACTTTAATAGGTCAAGGACAAATGCCTATGAAGTTGCCAAAAGGAAACCATTCTGGGTATGCCATCCTCTTGAAGGCATGTCCCCAGATGTCTCTGAAGGAAAATACGGGGAGTTTGGGACTCCATTCTCATGTTCGTTTTCATTAATGTATCTGGGTACAGGTGACAAGGGGGGGGCGGGGAAGAACAGAGAATAAAGGTAACAACACTAGTGCCAGAGATGAGTCATGTAATAGATACTCTACTTGAGAATGTGCCCTTCTGGGAGGCCTCCTGGGAAGGCCAGCAACCTGAACTCTAGAGCTAAGGGAAAGGCTACAAGCCTTTCTGAAGGGACCACCTGAAGCTAAGTGTTCTTCCACGTGGAAAAAAAAAAATGAGTTTTTACCACTTATGTAACGTGTGAACAAGTGACCTTTACAAAACAAATTACCTAAATATGGAGGCTGTGCAAGCATGGTTCCAAGAGAATCCCACTGCCTGCCTGGCTGGTGCTCTGGTTTGATATGGTTTGTCCCCTGAAAGCTCTAGAAATGCATGCTGAAATCTGAGTGCTGCCTCAGTTGGCTGCTGCTGTGGTGGTTCAGGGAGGAGGGGCCTTTAAGAGGCGTTTGGATGATTAATGCAGCAGCTCTTTAGTTAATTAGGTTAATGTTAACTCTCATGGGTTTGACTAAGTTCTTGGTCTCACAAGCCTGGGCTATTTATCTGAAGCGCAGATCCTGTTTTATCTCTTCACAGGAAGGCTCAGATCAATCTTCTAGCTTCTTCCAATCATAGACCATCTGTGGGTAGCAGAGCAGCACCACACTAACCTTCACCTACATTATCCAAAGCATGCTATGTGTAGGTCAGCCAAGCCTACAGTATGGGAAAAGTAAGGCTGACAGGAAGGAACGGAAACAGAAGGAAGGGGAGCATATCACAGTCAGGTGAAGGCCCCACAGAGCGCACCTAATATGAGAGATGGCTGGAGCAAGGCCAAGGAAGGAACACACAGACCCAATCCTGAAAGCCAGGCAGACAGGGCTGGCAAGCGACCTCAGATGATGACCCCAGTAGTCACAGGTTTCAGCTTTCTCATCTATAAACTGAGCGGGCTGAACTAGATGAGCTCTAGACTGGTGATTCTCTCTTCACCTGGACTCTAGAGTCTGCCACGGTTTGGCTAAGAAGAAGGTAATACACCAGGACCAATAGCACGGGTTTATCTTCCCACATCTTGACCATAGTCCCATGATGAGAGAAGGCACGGCTGGAGGGCTTCACTGGAGAACGGAGGAAAACCCAGAAGTCATACCAATTACTTCAAATAGATTTAATTTAATCCCTCCACATCCATGCCTGTGGCATCTGTGAAAGAACCCCCAGTGCCCAGATTCTGAAGAAGCACCAGGAAAGACACTTGCAAATCAGGGCTATTGAGACTCACCTTGAATTTTCAGAAAGCTCTGGGCTCAAAATAACCAGAAAACAAACACATATACCTCCAACTATGAAAAGGTGACCTCTGAGAAAGCTGTATTTTTTATACCACCTTTGAATGAGAACGTTAGTTGAACAGTACAGGGGAGACACTTATACTGGATACCTCTGCAACATTCCAACATGGCGCCCTTGAAGGAAACAAGGGGCTGTATAATGACCAAAAGCTCCTTCTAAGCTTAAAATCTGAAGACATTAAATGATGCATATAAGGAGGAAAATGAAAGCTTGAAGCACCAAAAAGACATGGGGGGGTTGGGAGTTGGGGGTTGTTCTTAGGAAATTTTACAGCAAGGTCAATAATGTAATCTTGTCTTCCTATCCTAGTAACTATGAATCAACTAACCATCAATCATCAAGAAAAAGAACAAGTATTATACCTGCATAAGGTTTGTAGGTTTTCATATAGTGTAAGATTTCCACTAAAGGTAAATTTAATTTAAAAGCTGAAGTTGGGTCTTGAGAGATGGCTCAGCAGGTAGAGAAGCCGTCCCCAAAGTGTGAGGCCTGCATGATGGTTCACCTGTAAACCCAGCAGAAGCGGTAGAGTCAGAGCATCTCTGGAGGAATCGGCGACCTCTGGG